ATATATGTATATATATATATATATATATATATATATATATATATATATATATATATATATATATTAATATATATATATATATATATGTATATATATGCTATATATATATATATATATATATATATATATATATATATATATATATATATATATGTATATATATATATATATATACATATATAAACATATATATAAATAAATGAATATATATATTCCATGCACTGAAATAAAATGATCAGCTTAGTTACATTTCAATAGAGAATATTTGTTGCATTTATAAGAAAGCCAAATGCCTAATATCTTTATGCAAAAAATGCAACAAAAACGACAACGACAATAACAGGGAAAAAAGATTGTTCTCGAAGGATACAGATGTTGAAGAAGAACAATTTGCTGCAGGAGAGCCCCCAGTACTTATTTGTTTATTCCTCTATTTGGTTAACCTTCTTTTGCAACAGATGTTTCATTTCGCTGACAATTTTGATGATTTTCTCTCTTAACTTGAGCTTAGGCATAACTAGTTTGGAATAACAGTTGATATCCGTTATTGTCAGAAAGATGTTGAAATATTCGCTTGCCATGCCCGGGTCACACACTCGGGGTTCTCGGTTCGATCTCCTGAGGAATCACTTGAGAATTTTATGTTCTCTTTCATTACTACGCACAGACACTTTTCTCTCTTGCTTTCTTTTCTTCTCTCGGTCACCCCTTCCCCTCTCTTTATCACTCCCTCCCGTTATTCTCTCTATTTCTCTCGTTTTTATGTCTCGTGTAATATTCTCTCTCTCTCTCTCTCTCTCTCTCTCTCTCTCTCTCTCTCTCTCTCTCTCTCTCTCTCTCTCTCTCTCTCTCACACACACACACACACCACACACTGATGATAATAAAAGTGATAATTAAAATGATAGGACTAATGATGATGATGAGAACAATAGCAATGGTGATGATAATGAAAATGGTAATAAGGAAGACAATATTCATAATAAAAAAAGATTGTTATGGAAAATAGAAATAATGATAATAAATAATAAGGGAATAATAATGATGAAGACGATGATGAAAATGATAATTATGATGACGGTGATGGTGATGATGATAATGATGATAGAGATAACAATGATAATATTCCTACCAACAATATTAATAATAATGATAATATTGATCATGATAGTAAGAATAAAAACAACAACAATGATGATATTGATAATTATATAAATAACAAAGTTGATAAAACAGCAATGACAATAATAATGATGATTCTAACAATAATGCAAAAACAAAACGAGAAAAGAAACATAATTTACATTACTCCAAACCTTAGAAAAAAGGAAAAGAAAGATGAAACAAACATAACAACATTTGACATATTATCATATCATTTTGTGTGTGTGTGTGTGTGTTTGTGAGTTTTTACACTTGGATGGAATATGTTAAAAGAAATCTTTTTGTGTGTGTGTTTGTGAGTTTTTACACTTGGATGGAATATGTTAAAAGAAATCTTTTTGTGTGTGTGTGTTTGTGAGTTTTTACACTTGGATGGAATATGTTAAAGAAAATCTAAAAGAAATCTTTTTGTGTGTGTGTGTTTGTGAGTTTTTACACTTGGATGGAATATGTTAAAAGAAATCTTTTGTGTGTGTGTGTTTGTGAGTTTTTACACTTGGATGGAATATGTTAAAAGAAATCTTTTGTGTGTGTGTGTTTGTGAGTTTTTACACTTGGATGTGTTAAAAGAAATCTTTTGTGTGTGTGTTTGTGAGTTTTTTACACTTGGATGGAATATGTTAAAAGAAATCTTTTTGTGTGTGTGTGTTGTGAGTTTTTACACTTGATGGAATATGTTAAAAGAAATCTTTTGTGTAAAAGTGTGTGTTGTGAGTTTTACACTTGGATGGAATATGTTAAAAGAAATCTTTTTGTGTGTGTGTTTGTGAGTTTTTACACTTGGATGGAATATGTTAAAAGAAATCTTTTTTGTGTGTGTGTGTTTTGTGAGTTTTACACTGGATGAATATGTTAAAAAATCTTTTGTGTGTGTGTGTGTTTGTGAGTTTTTACACTTGGATGGAATATGTAAAGAAATCTTTTGTGTGTGTGTGTGAGTGTTGTGAAGTTTTTTACTCTTGGATGGAATAAGGTTAAAAGAAATTTTGTTGTGTGTGTGTTTGTGGAGTTTTTACAACTTGGATCTGTGATACACTGTTAAAAGAAATCTTTTTGTGTGTTGTGTGTGTTTGTGAGTTTTTACACTTGATGGAATATGTTAAAAGAATCTTTTTTTGTGTGTGTGTTTGTGAAGTTTTTACACTGATGGAATATGTTAAAAGAAATCTTTTTGTGAACATGTGATGCTAATTTGTGTTGTGATGTGTGTTCATTGTGAGTTTTTACACTTGAGATGGAAACAGTTTAAAAAAGAAATCTTTTGTTTTTTGTGTGTGTGTGTTATGTGATTTTTTTTACACTTGATGAATAAGATTGGAAAGAAAATCTTTTGTGTGTGTGTGTATTGCTGGGAGTTTTTTACACTCTGGATGGAAATAAGTTTAAAAGAAATCTTTTCTTGTGATGTGTGTGTTTGTGAAGTTCTTTACACTTGAGATGGAACATAGTTTAAAAAGAAATCTTTTGTGTGTGTGGTGTGGTTTGTTGGAGAAAAGGTGTAAACGAGCTTGGATGGAATAAGTTAAAAGAAATCTTTTTTCGCGTTGATTAGTGTGTTTGTGAGTTTTTACACTTGGATGGGAACATGGTATAATAAAGAAATGCGAATTTTGTGTGTGTGTGTTGCCTTAGTTTTCACTTTGGATGGAACATTTAAAAGAAAATTATTTTGTGTAATGTTTGACTGTGTTTGTGAGGTATTTACACTTGGATGGAAATCATGTTAGATGTTATGAAAGTTTTATAAATCATTTTTGAAATATTTTTGTGTGTGTGTGTTTGTGAAGTTTTTTTTACACTGGGAGTGGAACATGTCTAAAAAAGAAATCTTTTGCGTGTGGGTGTTTGTGAGAGTTTTTACACTTGGATGGGAACATGTTAAAGAAACTCTTTTCTCTGAGTGATGTGTGTGTGTGTGTGTGAGTTTTTACACTTGGAAATGGAACATGTTAAAAGAAATCTTTGTGTGTGTGTGTTTGAGTTTTTTACACTTGGATGGAACATGAGTTTTTACACTTTTAAAAAGAAATCTTGTGTGTTTGTGTGTGTTTTGTGAGTTTTAACTTGATGGAATATGTTAAAAGAAATCTTTTTGTGTGTGTGTAGGTTTGTGAGTTTTTACACTTGGATGGAAAAATGTTATAAGAGGAGAGGAGAATCTTTTGTGTGTGTGTTTTGTGAGGGTTTGAACACTTGGGGGGATGTGAGTTTTTACACTTGGATGGGAGAAAAGAAATTTGTGTGTGGGTGTTGGTTGTGAGTTTTTAACGACTGATGGAATCAGTTAAAAGAAATCTGTTTTGTGTGTGTGTGTTGTGTTTGTGAGTTTTTACACAGGATGGAACATGTTAAAAGTTTTTAAACACTGTGGATGGGAAACTTCTTGTGTGTGTGTGTTTGTGAGTTTTTTCCACACTTGGATGGAACATGTTTAAAAGAAATCTTTTTTGTGTGTGTGTGTTTTGTGAGTTTTTACACTTGGATGGAATAAGTTAAAAAGAAATCTTTTTGTGTGTGTGTGTTTGTAGTTTTTTACACTTGGATTGGAATAAGTAAAAAGAAATCTTTTTGTGTGTGTGTGGTTTTGTGAGTTTTTACACTTGGATGGAAACATGGTTAAAAGAAATCTTTTTTCTGTGTGTTGTCGTGTTTGTGAGTTTTTTACACTTGGATGCGAAACATGTTAAAAGAAATCTTTTTGGTGTGTGGGTGTTTTGTGAGTTTTTACACCTTGGAATGGAATCTGTTAAAAGAAATCTTTTTGTGTGTGTGTTTTTGTGAGTTTTTTACACTTGGATGGAACATGTTATAAAGAAATCTTTTTGTGTGGTGTGTGTTTGTGAGTTTTTACACTGATGGAACATGTTAAAAGAAATCTTTTTTGGTGTGTGTGTGTTTGTGAGTTTTTACACTTGGAATGGAATAATTTAAAAGAAATTTTTTGTGTGTGTGTGTTTGTGAGTTTTTTACACTTGGATGGAATATGTTAAAAGAAATCTTTTTGTGTGTGTGTGTTTGTGAGTTTTTACACTTGGATGGAAATGTTAAAAGAAAATCTTTTTGTGTGTGTGTGTTTGTGAGTTTTTACACTTGGATGGAATAAGTTAAAAGAAATCTTTTTTTGTGTGTGTTTGTGAGTTTTTACACTTGGATGAATATGTTAAAAGAAAATCTTTTGTGTGTGTGTGTTTGTTGAGTTTTTACACTTGGATGGAACATGTTAAAAGAAATCTTTTGTGTGTGTGTGTTTTTGAGTTTTACACTTGGATGGAATAAGTTAAAGAAATCTTTTTGTGTGTGTGTGTTTGTGAGTTTTTACACTTGGATGGAATATGTAAAAGAAATCTTTTTGTGTGGTTGTGGTTTGTGAGTTTTTACACTGGATGGAACATGTTAAAAGAAATTTTTTGTGTGTGTGTGTTTGTGAGTTTTTTACACTTGGATGGAATAAGTTAAAAGAAAATCTTTTTGTGTGTGTGTGTTTGTGAACACTTGGATGGAAAGTTAAAAGAAATCTTTTTGTGTGTGTGTTTGTGAGTTTTTACACTTGGATGGAATATGTTAAAAGAAATCTTTTTGTGTGTGTGTGTTTGTGAGTTTTTACACTTGGATGGAACATGTTAAAAGAAATCTTTTTGTGTGTGTGTGTTTGTGAGTTTTTACACTTGGATGGAATATGTTAAAAGAAATCTTTTTGTGTGTGTGTTTGTGAGTTTTTACACTTGGATGGAATATGTTAAAGAAATCTTTTTGTGTGTGTGTGTTTGTGAGTTTTTACACTTGGATGAAATATGTTAAAAGAAATCTTTTGTGTGTGTGTGTTTGTGAGTTTTTACACTTGGATGGAACATGTTAAAAGAATCTTTTTTGTGTGTGTGTTTGTGAGTTTTTACACTTGGATGGAACATATGTTAAAAGAAATCTTTTTGTGTGTGTGTGTTTGTGAGTTTTTACACTTGGATGGAAATGTTAAAAGAAATCTTTTGTGTGTGTGTTTGTGAGTTGGATGGTGTTAAAAGAAATCTTTTGTGTGTGTGTGTTTGTGAGTTTTTACACTTGGATGGAATATGTTAAAAGAAATCTTTTGTGTGTGTGTGTTTGTGAGTTTTTACACTTGGATGGAATATGTTAAAAGAAATCTTTGGCGCAACGGTTAGCACGACGGTCTCTGAATCCGCAGACTCCGGGTTCGATTCCCGGCGGAAGATGTCCTGACACGACTTCTTTTTCGTGCTCTTTTTCTTCATATAAAGGCAAGGCTCTGATAAGAAACAATAATAACAATGATAGTAATGATAATGGTTAATAACAGCGTTACTGATTATGATAGTGATAATGATGATAATAATGATAATGATAATAACAATAAGAATGATAATAAAAAGAATAAGAAGAAAAAGAAAGACAATTCATATTACCCTAAACTATAGAAAGTAATAATAATAAAAATTCACAGTAACCATTGCTAAATATTTACATTATATAATGCTAAAGTTTCAATTGAAAATGAAGACTCCGTGGTGCAGTGGATAGCACATTCGCCTGCTCGGCGGAAGACTTGGGTTCGAATCCCATCTGAGACGAATGTGTATGTGTTAACACACTTACTTTATATGATAAATATAGCCCCCCCCCCCCCGGGGAGGGCATGGAAGGTGCCAGGGATAGGGCGGGGTAAAGTATGAATAATGTACACAGAATCAGTCGCTATAGTGTCTGATGCAGACCATCCGATAACCTATATATATATATATATATATATATATTATATATATATATATATATATATATATATATATATATATATATATATATATATATATATATATATATATTATTACCACTATCCTTATTATTATTATCTTGATAAAGGATATCATTATTGATGTTTTATTTTTCTCATTAATATTAATATTATTATATTTATTATCATTATTATTATTGTTATCACTATTACTATCGATATTATTATTACTCTTTTATTATCATTACAGTTATCATTATCACTCTCATTAGCGTCATTATCATTATAAAAGATTTCATGATTGTTTTTTTTTTATATCATTATCCTCATTATTATTATTAGAGAGAGAGAGAGAGGGAGAGGACAACAGGCCTGTCATCATTATCATCATTTAGTCCCAAAGAGGCAGCTTGTGTGACACATCTTTCTCACTTTATCATTGCCGGTGTTTACCTTCTGGCAGAGATGGAGACTGTTGTTGTGCGCTATATATATATATATATATATATATATATTATATATATATATATATATATATATATATATATATATATATATATATATATATATATATATATATATATATATATATATATATATATATATATATATATATATATATATATATATATATATATATATATATACATATATATATATATATATATATATATATATATATAATATATATATATATATATATATATATATNGGAGAATGTTTTGGACCAACACTTGGGAAAGCACCCATAAGTCCTCCTACAAGATGTTCAAATGTGAGTGAATTAGAGGCAACTACTGAAATTTCATGTATGTTTGGGTTTAGTGAGTGTTGCAACAGAAGGATCTCACCGTTTTTTTTTAAGGTAGCTGAGCTGTTGCAGATTAAAGGCTTAGTTATGGCAGATGAAGTACAAGGAGACAAGAATACATTGCCAAGTTCTAATAGTAAAAAACCCAGGGGAAGACCCAAATCATTGTCAAGTTCAAATAGTAGAAATACCAGGGGAAGACCCCGGTCAAGAGAGTATGTAGATTCTACTGATGGCAGAGGGAGTCCACACCCAAAGAGAAGGAAACAAGATGACGCTAGCTCACCATCACCCAGGTTATCCTCATATTCCAAAGACTGTGAAGTACGTTTAGATTATAGGACATCAGACGACAGATCTAGAAGAGAGTTGTATCCAGAGCTTGTAAGAGGCAGTGAGTCTGAGACAGAGTCCCTCCATCACAAAGGATCTACAACCAGTAATTCAGTGTCTGAAGAGTTGAAAATGGTTTCAGGTGTGAAGTTAGAACAGTCAGCCATAAGGAATTCCTCGAAGGTTAGTGTTTTTAATTCTCCAATGTTACTTTCACTCACAAATTAACCTGAACCACTCCAATTACTGGCAAAACTTTTTTATCATCATATGAGATATATTTTTCTTTATATTATAGTATATAAGTGAAAATATGATGTACATGAAAGAGGAAGTGTGGGAAGATCCTACAATAGTCATTAAAGGAGATGTGTGGGAAGATCCAGAACTAAGTTATAATGACTCCATACTTGGAAGACTTAATTTTTATCATTATATCATGAGATATGTTTTTCTTTATGTTACAGGATGCAAGTGAAAATATGATAAACATTAAAGAGGAAGTTTGGGAAGATCCTGCAATAGTCATTAAAGACGAAGTGTGGGAAGATCATGAACTAAGTCACAATAACTCTATAGACCCGAGTGTCTATGGAGCCTCAGGTAGTGCAGACCCAGACAGTCATGATGGAGTTAATAAGGAGCACACAGGCACATCTAAGGAGTTTAGTGATC